ACCATAATACAAAAAGGACTTGTATACTGATAAATTAATCCTGAAATAGAACATATTATAATTTTTAAAAATTATTTTATTGATTTTAGAGAAGAAAGGGAGAGAGAGGAACATCTATAAGAATCATTGATCAGCTGCCTCCTGCACGCCCCCTTCTGGGGATGGAGCCTGCAACCTGGGCAAGTGTGCTGATCAGGAATTAAACCATGACCTCCTGATTCATAGGTTGACGCTCAACCAACTGAGCCACACCAGCCGGGCATATTATAATTTTTAAAGTCATTAGTTCAATTTTTTTTTAAAGTTTGAGTTTAAGATTCTTTTTCACAATGTAAGGTTTTTAAAAATAAAAGTTTAGTCTCTTTTTATGATTATGTGTTACAACTTGGTAAGGTATATTCAGCCATAGACAGCTCAGTTTTCTCAGATATTAGCATTTAGGCATTCATACCATCTGCTGCTACTCTGTACCTAAACTGGGATTTTAAGAGTGGTGGGTAACAGTGGAACATGGCTAAAGCATTTAAAAGCCAAAATTAGTAAGCAAATTCTCTGAAATCACTGTAGACCCACTTTTTTTGTTGTTTTTATCACAGACTTCTAATTCTTTCTAATTTATTTTACACTCCAGGGCTTTGGGGTTGTGTGTGTGTGTGTGTGTGTGTGTGTGTGTGTAATGTTTTTCCCAAATCTTTTTAAAAGAAGCAACAAGACTGACCGTTCTAGCTTGACACAAGCTAATAAAAGTAGGAATTGCTGAAGATGATGAGCTCTCTGGAAAAAATATAGGAGGTTGTATAATCCATTGTGAATAATCTAGTTCATGACTGCGACCACATAATTGATTGGACTAAGCTAGTTTAAAATGCATTGGTAGAGATGCCACCTCACATCCACTTCCACAACTAAATTTTTTAAAATGTAAAATAAGTTGGTAAGGATATGAAGGAATTGAAACTCATACATTGCTGGTGGGAATGTAAAATTGGGTGGCCACTATGGAAAACATTTTGGCAGCTTCTTACAAAGTTAAATGCAATTACCATATGGCCCCGCAACCACTCTTAGTTACATAACTGAAAGAATTTAAAACATGCCCAGACAAAACTTATACACAAATGTTCCCAGTAGCATTATTCACAAAATAGCCAAAAGGTGGAAACAAGCCAAATGTCCATTTGGATAAAGAAAGTGTGGCATAACCATACAATGGAATATTATTCAGCCATACAAAGGAATGAAGTACTGACACAACATGGATTAGCCTTAAAAACATTGTGCTAAAAGAAACCAGACACAAAAGGTCACATATTATATGATTCCATTTATATGAAATATCCAGAATAGGGAAATCCATTGAGGCAGAAAGCAGATTAGTAGTTGCCAAGGCTGGAGGGGTAGGAAGTGACTGCTTAATGGATAAGGGGTTCCCTTTAGAGGTGATGAAACTGTTTTGGAACTAGAGATGGTGGTTGCACCACACCACATCATGATTATACTAAATGCAATGAATCACATTAAAATGGTTGGTTTTATGTGAATTTCACTTCAATTAAAAGAAATGCTTTTGCCCGGCTGTGGTGGCTCAGTGATTAAGTGTTGACCTATGAACCACGTCACAGTCAGATTCCCAGTTAGGGCCCAGGCTCCATCCCCAGTGGGAGGGGGTTGGGGTTGGGGCAGAAGTCAGCTGATCAATGATACTCATCATTGATGTTTCTATTTCTTTCTCCCTCTCCCTTCCTTTCTGAAATCAATAAAAATATATTTTTTGAAAATGCTTTGGTACTGTCATCTCAGAATGTATTGTTATTCTAAAGTTAGTGCTTCAAAAACCACCCCAAAACAGCTCTAATACCTTCAATACAATTAAAGCATGGACTTCCACATAAAGCGAGGTTTTATGCATTGGAATATTACCCAAATCAGTTAAAGCTCTTGAATTATTTCATCTCCCAAACGAAATCTAGATAGTATTTCCTTCTAGTACTATTGAGCAAAATATTAAAAATTTTTAAACAAAATGTTTTTGGCCCTAGCTGATTTGGCTCAGTGGATAGAGTTGGCCTGTGTCCTGAAGGGTCCCGGTTTCAGACTTGATCCCTAGTAGGGGGCATACAGGAGGCAGCCAATCAATAATTCTGTCTCATCAATGATATTTCTATCTCTCCCTCTTCCTTCCTCTCTGAAATCAGTAATATATATATATTTCAAAATGTTTTGGGATGTTTAGAAAACCAGTGTTGACTCTAATTTTTTAGAGGAAAGATTTTCCCTATTGGGTTGCCATGTGGGTCTTGTGATAAACTAGTAGTGCAAACTTTTACCCTTCAATATGTATGTGTTTTGGTTTTGTCTCAAACTAGTTTGTAGGGAGCTTCTGCCTGTATTTCATAGCTGGAGAATATGAGAGCTAAAGGTGTCAGTTTCCACCAGGAGCTCTTACCACAGTAGTATTCTTTGGACCCTCTCTCTCTTATATTATGTTCCTCACAGATCTACTTCCAGTCTGAAATCACCACATTCTGATGATAATCAAGTCTTAATTCTCTCAGAAAAGTCATCACCCAGTGAAATTCTTGGAAATTTGAAACAACAGATATTAGTATTCAGAATTTTAAAGAACATTGTATTATAGCCAGGAATGTTTGCTAATGAATTATGAATTACCAGTGTATACTAAAGTAGCAACTGTGCCAAAGTTCAAGAACAGCCTGTGTTCTCTATATTCTTAGTCATTTATAATCAATATAAAACTTTAGAATGTTAATTCCTACAGCAAGAACTAATGACATCTTAAAACGTGGTTCACCATAGACTTAGACTTTCCATATTTTATTAAATTAAATGTACTAAAAATCCAAATATAATTGAAAAATTCAGTCACAAAGATGGCTTTAAACACAAACATTTCTGAATGATGCTTTATTCTAACTGGAATATAAAGAAATTTTGGTATGATATTTATTCAGTTTTCTTAGTGTTCCCTACCTTTGGACTCCCAATCATACTAACATAACTGTATACAGAAGAATTAATCAGAGTATGTGGCACTTTATTTTATATTCAGTTATTCTGAAATGCTTATATACAATCTGATCACACTGTTTAGTCAGCAAATAAAAAATTTAAAGATTCCAGATGTGGAATGTTTTATAAGTGTTTAGAGTTTTTCTGACCAGAGTTCAATTTAGCTAGCCATATTGTTAATATAGGACCTATATGTTTTTCTCTTGGGCATGAGTATATCATGTTATAATTTTTTCTTTCAAAGTGTTTCTCAACTTTTCACTTAGAAGCTTTTTGTTTTCTCTCAAGTTATTGTAACACCCTGTCAACATCTTTGTTTGAAGGCAGACCAAAACCAAATTTTAAAAAGAAAAAAAAGTTTTTTCAAAAGGATCAGCTTCTGGCTTTAATATTTATGTATTTGTAAACTGATGTTAAAATGCTCTCAAAAATGTTATTTAGGAAAGCACAATTTGGTAACATCAATTTTTCATTTATAGCTTTTTCTAAAAAAGATCCCAAGAAACTACTACCTTAATTTCCCCCCTCAAGTACTTTTAAGTACTTCAAAGTTCAATCTAAAGTGCATGTAAAACCCTCTCATTCTCAAACTTACTAAACTAAGAGTTAAAAATACAATGGCTAGTGAGCAGAATATGAAAGTATAGGCTACTTTATCAAGAGTAAAGTTCTTACAGTGTTGGGTTTAAGATGGAAAAAATGAAAGAATTTGGAACAAAAGCTCTCACAACTGTGGAAAGAGCTCTTCTTGAAGTGGATGGGCTTTTAATATCTAAGCTGGAAATTAAATGCAGAAATGAGATAACATTTCAGTTTTCCCAAACATCAAAAAAACACAACAGCTAAAGTATTACAAATTAGGTATGGTGATAATTGAGTTAGAAAAGCTTAGTTACCACTCTAGGCCAGATACCATTCAGTAAAACTGTAATTTCTAATTTTAGAAAGTTTGGCTTCATATTAAAATTTTTTTTACAGTATATAAATTATATATATAATGTTTACCTGCAACTCAAATTGTAATGCTCAAGCCTATAAAAGGATGTTTATTTCCAAGATCCTCAAAAGCCCCACTACTCCCTTTTATATTTGTAAAACCATTAATTTCAAAAATACTTCTAACAGAAATGCTCAATAGTTCATCCAAAATTCAAAGCCCACATCAGTCAACAGTTTCTCATAATGTATTGTGCTGTATTCTCTGATATCACATGGTCACTTTCTATTAATTTATGAACACTTTTCACGGGCAAGAGTACTTAAAGACAAAGGGATAAAGTTGACTTTGTTGTTATTCACTTTGAATATTAAGTTGTGCTTGCATCCTAAAAATTAAAATGAGCTGCAGTAAAAAAGATATATGTTCATTTGTACCATATTTAGTTGTACTAACAACTAAAATCTTAAAAATAAGAGAATGAAACTATGTTAATTGAAAAATGAAAGATGAGAAGCAATAACAATATTTTAATCTTTTGTTAAAGTCTCAAGTTGTATTAAATTGCTAACCAAATTGAGGTAGAGGTAGGCCCTAATGTTATTCCTCTCACATATCAGAACTTAGGCCTCTCACCTTAACTTGTAGGCATTTCCCCCCTAATTATATAAACATGATTCAATTGGAAATATGTGTTATGATAGAAAAATTATAGCATCATTCAAATGGTATTTTACAAAATTCTTAATAGCGAGGCTAAAAAAAAAGTATTTATAAAATGTACACAATAATTCAATGTTCCCTGCCAGTCATAAATATATTTGTTTTTCCTCCAAGTGTAAGGGGCGGGGGG